CATCTTGTTGATATATCATCAAATGAAGAAGCATTAAAATATTTAAAAAGAAAAAGTAAAGCTGGAAAATATCCTCAAATCTTTGTTGATGGTGCATTTAAATGTGTAAGGGCATCATTATCTAATTATATAATTATCAAGAAAGGGGGTTTTTTTTTGAGAAAATAACAATTAACCAATTTAATTTTCATTATTATTGTTATTTTTTAGTATGCAGAAGAACTTGAAGAACAAAACGAATTTAAAACAGTTAAAACATATTTGGGACAACAATAATAATATGTTTATATATTAATAATATATATACACAAATATATATATTCTCAATAAAGTTTAATAATATTGCCCAGTCAAACTATAATCTGAATTGCGTGGTAGACCTATATGTCCACCAAGAATAAGTGCTGCCCCAGATGGAAAGAGACGAAAATGTAATTGTTATTATTTATTAGCTTATCAATCAATTTAGTAATGTTGATTTATTAGTAACCAATTGAATCATTAAATCACACATAACTAGTATACAAATCATTAACTTGCATAAGTGTAAATGATGATGAAACACTTTGTGTTTCTTTAATAGATCTTACTCCTGTAATAGTTTTTCTAATTAATCATATTAATTATAAATTTAAAAAAATTCCTTTCCAAGTGACTACAGTAAAATCAAATACATCATACACAATAAGGCTCCGAACGAATCGAATCGAATCTAATTTTAAAGTGATTCGATTCGATTCGATTTGATTAGTGACTCGATTCGAATCAATTCGAATCAAACCGATATGTTTTTATATGTGAAGCAAAAATCCGTTATGGTAAGAATTTATTATTATTATTATTTATAGTCCGCTGTGACAAGGTTGGAATATAATAATAACGGATTTTTGGAAAAAATTTTCTAAACCCAAACTATCTTCTAAACCATGATTTAAATTTTTTAATTGATAAAGGATATTATAGCCGAAACTGTTTTTGAAAAAAAGGTAGTTTCGTCCAATACACATAATAAGTAAATCAATCTAACTTTATTTTAAAAACTCTCAATTTCGACCATTAAAATCAGTTTCGTCAAAGTTTAGGCCAATTAATTTCGGCAATTTCGGCCCATTAAGCGTAGTTTCGGTCACCATCACTAGTTCGAATCGTGCTGAGTTGGATCAGTTCGAATCAAATTATATATTCGTATCAGTTCAAATCAAATTGAATCGAATCAGTTTGAAACTAATCAGAGTACAATTCGAATTTGATTTAATTCGATTCGAACTGATTCGAATTTCATTGATTCGTTCGGAGCTTTATTTAATAGTTGTCGAAATTATATTTGAACACTTCAACTCGATAGCTGAAGTTCTGGATAACCTTTTAATGTCTATGGATATAAAGAATAATGTAAATCCGAAATTGCTTATTGAAATTGATTTTTTTCAAAACCATTTCAGCTAACATCTTTAATCTACTCTTTGAGATGATCTGATCATTGAAGATTTCATTGAAAAGAAGATGCTCAAAAAATAGCGTGTTAAGATCTTCAGCTTCTTGATGTGTGCCTACATTTTGACTAGATGATTTATTTGTTTCTTTGTGACAGGTTCCCATCCTCACCTCTTGAAGAATCTGATAAAATTGATGTTGTTTATTTGCCTCTAAAATAGAGGAAGGAATTTTTTCAGGCTGGCAGGTTGAAAACATAGGAAGGGTGAACTGGGTGCAGCTGGGCCAAATCCCCATGACCAACATTGGTACACCTCCAAAAATGTAAACCCAGGAGAAGGTATTGCTGATGAAGGTGAACAGATCATTGTTCACCATAGATATTTCATTTATTATAATGGTATTGATTTTCTGTAGCTCAGTCTCATGCGCACTGTTTGAAGTAATAAATGTTTTTTTGTATCTTCCCTCCCAGTACTTATCTCACTTTCAAGGATTAGTTCATGATCTTTCCAACCAATGTTCTGGGTAGTGATGCCAGCAGGGGCTATCAACAGGTATTCTTTCTTTTAGACTAATGATTTGAAGGGCTTTCCGAACCTGTCAAAAAGAGGTAGAGATATTTTCCATCTGATGATTTTCCCCAAGTATTGCACAGGGTGCCATAATACTATATTGCTCATTCTGAAGCAATTATATCAAGTGGAAGGTGATGTAATGCCAGTTGGTGAAACATGATATCAGATAGATCTTGATTCTCAAGCTCAGGTAAGGGTGATCCTAAGATTGTCACATATGCCTCTGGAATGGTGTTCTTTTTTTTAGGTGGCTATTTTTAAGTGAATTTATTGCTTTATTGTGTCTTAGAGGGGATTTTTCTCAATATGTGATAAAACATCCTAGCAAGTCTTATTCTGATCTTGCTGTACCTTCATCACAAGTTATTGAAAGAAAAAAGCTTAATGTGTATTTAGTGAAATGTAAAAGAATGGGTGGCATTCACTGGGCAGCCACCCCACCTTTTCTTAACCCGCATTACTTTTTTTGCTGCTGTAAATTACAAAGAAAAATAGGCCACAAAATTAAGATACAAATCTTACAAACAAAAGAACTGAAATGCAAAAAAGTTACAACTTAGAAAAGAGAAAATTGAGAAAATGCTCCCAGAAGATGTTTGGAATTTTGATTAGCAAGAAAAAAGGGGTGGAAATTAGAACAGGCTTGTCATAAAATTATGGAGGAACATATTTGTTCTAAACAAACTAATCAGCAAGAATTTCAGGGTAACAAACAGCGAATATGAATAGAAAAAAATATATTTTGCCTTTCTCGGACAGTTTTCAACTAAAATGATGACATCATTTACTTTTTGCTTCATCCAGACTTGGCTTAATTCTATTAATTACTTGAATTTTCAAAAGGTTTTTATTGAAACCAAATGAAAAAGAAATAAAAGAAAACGAAGGAGAGAAGATGAATAAAATAATTGAAGCTATCGAAAAAAGAAAAATAGTAAAATTATACCACAAGAATGCAATAGAGGAGTTAGAAAAAAGAGGGAAAAAAGACCCAGGGTTAAAGATTTTTCTCAGGTTAACTTACTAACTGGGGAAGAACACAACCAAGAATTAGGACTAGTTAAAAGACCAAATTAATTTTAATTAACATAGTCACAAAAACCCAGAGTTCATAGAAAGAAAAATTAAAGATTTACCATAATCAGAACAAAGAACTGATTGAAAAAGGAGAATTTCCCATCATCTGTTTTAAAAATATTGAAAAAACCAAGCCTTGGAAGAAGCTTTATTACCAGTTTTTGATTCCCAACAAAACACTAAATTATTTAATAAAGAAGTGGTTTATCAAAATTCATTTTAATTGCTATTATACTACCCACGAGACTGAAAAATTATTAGACCCTTTGCTTTCTCATTTAGATTGGGTTAATGCAGACACTGCTCAACCAAAAAAAAATTTCTTTAGATAATTTTATTAGTATTGTTACTGGTTCCAAAAAAAAGTAATAGTAAATGTGCATTCAAAACAAAGGTAATCTGAAATCAGTGATATTAAAAATTTTGAATTCTGAAGTCCTTGGTAATACAGATGTTCACTTTGTCTGATTTCGTTGCATATGTATATATATATATAAATAACACATCATCAACTTCCTTGGATGTTCTATTAGACATCTACGTTAAACGTTGGAAGAATAGATGGTTGAGGAGTGTTATGGTCTACTTAAAACAAAATCAAATAATCTACCAGTCCTTGAATATCATGTAGTGCACAAAAAAATTGATAAAGCATTTTACATATATGTTATTGGAATAGTCTTTTATACTTTTCTAATAATTAAATTACTCCCTATTTTTAGAAATATACTACATAACATTCATATTTAAAAATTTTGACAGAGAAAAATGAAAATTTTATTTACAATTGATTTTTTATTAAAAGTATTTGTTATTTGTTATTGATTCTTATCATAAATCTATATATTTATATTTATATGTATATGTATAGTTGAAGGTTTTTTAACTAGAAAATAAATTTTGATATTTATGAGCTAATAAAACCATATTATCATAATTCTTTAAATCTAAAAATATAAAACAATTACAATATTAACGTTATTATTATTATTATTATTATTATTATTATT